CAGTCGTCTAATACCAACTTCGTGGTACACCTTTGTCCTTCTCAACGGCCATTCGGACACATCAGCTCCGGACTGCCGATGACCATCCACGAACATAACCCACACCATCAGTAAAAATCCCGACTTAAAGATCAAGAGATTAGCGACGCCATTTCTTAGGCCTGTTACTCACAATGATTTTCAGTCACTCTTACCAACGTGGTCACTTGAGCATAGCTTCCAGGAGGCTTGTGACACGCGAAACACTGATGATTCTCGACAGGGATGAAACAGCGTCTTGGATTTCCAGTATGGACTGGTGAAACGAAATTCCGGCTGCAAACAACTCACACTACGAGGTATCGGGACTTTTGGTGCAGTATCCGTTTAAAATTTGATACTGATTGAATTTTTTTCAATCGCCCGGCGCAAGGGTCGGAGTGCTAAAGCCGCGAACTTGATGACCGTGGTTCGAACCCGAGCCCGGTATCTAGTCTGTTTCTGTCTGGCCTTGGGTAGTCTAGAAGTACGCCACTCTTCGCGCTGCCTTCGAATGGAATGGCAGCTAGGAACCCAAAGAGCGTTAGAACTAAGCAGGCGAGGCGAATCCCAGGTTCATGGTTTGTGGTATGTAACCATTCTAAACCATTCATCCGAGAAATCGCAAGAAACGTAGCGCTTTCCCGATGTTTGAAGATATTTGATGAGCATCACTAGGTTTGTATCCCCCGCCAAACTCCAACGTCGTATAATAAAGCAATAGCCTCAGTTAGTTTGCTCAGAGGGCCTTCGTTTAAATCAGTTGCTTACTTCCTCTGCAGATAGCAAGTCTAGCTGACATTATTTATCGTTTAACATAGTGCTATGTGAAGAAATGCCCTCTACCAGTGAAAGGAAGAAGGCCTTTGCTGCGGAGTTATTTATTAGAAAATGCCATCTGAAAGGTTACAGACCATTGGATAGGGAAGCAAAACTCTCATTTGCATCTTATTCGTAAAAACTGGACATCCATCTTCTCCTGAACGCGTCTTCTTGAACTTTTCTGAATATTCATTGACTCCAATTATTCATCGCTCGAATCCAAGCAAATGTTACAAAGCGACTCTGCAGATTCCGCAACAGATTCCTCTTTTCAAAAGATGCAAAGCAAAATTCCACATACTACTCGCGTGCCTCTCCTTCAGTAGTATCACCGTTACACCAGTATTTTTGCACAGCCAACTTACTGGCCCATTCCATTGCTATACAAGCCTTATCCCACTATCAAGTTACCTGTTCACTAGTTAGAAAATATTGCAAGTCTTTGAGTTCTCTTTCAACAGTAGAATCACAGTGCATCCTGACCCTAGACAGCTTGAGGGGTTCCCCGCCTAATGGCTTGAAGTCCATTAAGTCCGATTCTTCATTTTCGTGATTTCTTCTCGTCACGAGAAAGCACTTTTTATATCGCTGAAGCACTAATGCCCTAACATTTCAGCTTTCTGGCAACAACACACAGAGTTCTACGCATTGGTTGAAATTCTTGGGGTTACCGACTGCTGAGTCACCCAGACCAACAGCTGACTCGCTAAATACAGTCGCTCGCAAACTGAGTTGGTTTTAACTGGGAACTCAACTGAACCCCAGGTGAATTGCTCACTTCCTTCAAAAAAATGCACCGCATAAAGACCACTTTTTACTGTAGCTTGCACAGTAGTCGAGATATTGCAACAAATATTCTTTACGGAACACACTACTCACAAAGTCGCTGAAAACACTTTGATAAAACTCACACTTTCTGCGTGAGAACCAAGTGGAATTTGGACGAGTTGAGTCCATATCAGTTTATTTCGATGGATTATCCTTTAGGTCAGCCTCAGTCCCAAAAAATTAAAATGGCGCTCAACCCGTGTAACGTTTCTATATCACGTACTTTCCAGATACTGAATTCTGGACTCCATTGAACTGAGTGTTCACGTTTTGTAGCTGCGTTTCACACACTCACCCCCAAAACCAACGGGAAGTGTCGTATTTTACCTTCTAGTAGACTGGCGCGGAGATATGACGTTTGGTTAATGAAGTCCTGAAAAACAACTCTACTGTGATATCTGCACTGACAACGCATAAAATGACAGTAACGTACTCTCGACGTCAGAAACTAAACATCAGAACCATTGGAGGGAACAAAAAGTCTCATTGCACAAGTTCGAATTTCCGAACTACCAGCGAAAGCAAGAAGGCCTTCGCTGCGGAGTTATTTGTTGGAAAACACCAAATGCACAGTTACAGACTATTGGACAGGGAAGCAAAACTCTCATATGCGTCTTGTTTATATAAACTGTGTATCGGCCCTCTTCTCGAACGCGTCTCCCTGAACTTTCCTGGATTCTCATTAAATATCACTCAAATGTAAACGAATGCTAGAGAGCGGTTGCACAAATTCCGTGATAAGTCCCACTTTTCAATAGAGTTACGAGGAAACATATTACTCGCATGTCTCATCAGTAGTATCTACCACTGCACCAGGATCGTTTGTACAAAACAGAGTGCATATAGTATGCGTAAACGTTTGTTTTCCGAACATACAGCCAATTACAGAGTTTCATGTGTACACCAAACGTAATGTTTTCCAAATACTCTCACTTTCACACCAATTCGGTTTAACGAGAGACTCAACTGAATCTCCCGTTAACACTGTCGTGCATCAAATGGGAATACCTCACAAAGCCAACTCATTCTCAGTTGGGGTAAAATATCCCGGACACCACAGTAAATTGTATTGAAGGAGCGAAGTATCGGTTGTACAACCCGAAAACCCTCGACAGTCCGGAATTGATACGGCCCTTCTTGGGGCTCACACGGTATTCTGTTTGCACAATGGTTTGCGTCATCTCAAATATCGTGTGCGACAGAAAATTGAGTTCGTCTTATGTAGCACACTGAGTCTTATAATAAAATTGAATTAGTCTGCTCCTAAGAGTATTTGACGAACCCAGTCCGATTCGGTATCAATAAGAACATCAGGTGGAAAGGAGTTCGTGTCCGGTGACCACTGGTTAAGTCTCGAGAGGGAAACTGCTGAGCATTACTCATCAGCCTTTGTAGTAGTGTGTAACATCAAAACTAACCATAGTTGTTTTTGCTCTGTCAGCTGAGGTAAGTGACCTTTCCTTTTTAAAACTTTGATTCATTCGGTAATTTTCCACACCGTGCTTAGCAGGATGTCTCAGTCCGAACAATGAGATTTTCCTAGATAAACTTAGAGAATAGCAACAGACTTTAAGTGAAAGTCGTAAAAACGATCATCACGTTTGTTTCTATTTAAATCAGCTTTCTCCAGGCGATTTGCTCGCATTTTCCGAGACACTCAGTAACGAAACTGAGAGGTATTGATTTTGCTTGTTCGCAGAACAGGAAATAATGGTGACAGAAACAACGCCCGATCGTTTGGAGTCGTTTACGAAACAACACAAACTAAGCGGTTACACACTACTAGAACCGGAGAGTAAAAATCTCGTTTTCACAGAATGTTTTGAAAATCTAACGTTTTAGAGCGTCCTGTTGAACTTTTCTGGGCGTTATTAGAATAATGATCGAAAAAAAACAAGAATTACAGGTGATCCCCATACTTCGACACTTTGTCAGTCGCTACTCGCATAATACGTCAGTAGTATATACCGTTACGTTGTTATTATTCAAGCTGCAAAACGCGAGGCCTATCTAACTAAGTAATATTCTGTGGCTTTGCCACTCATCTATCCACCCAATTAGAACTGACGGAAATCGTTCACTAAGATACAATAAAATTTATCTAACTAATATTCTGTGGCTTTGCCACTCATCTATCCACTCAATTAGAACTGACGGAAATCATTCACTAAGATCTGTCTTTTACAAGTCATCTGGTTAATACCAGGGTGAGCAACTTGTTTGATTCAACTGTTTTGGTGCAATTAATCTGGTCTGGTTTGATTTGATTTGCTTAGGTGTGCTTTGCTCATCACTAAAACCCTGAGATTTGGATTGCACTGTAGGATTAGAAAGGAGCTGATTGGGTCAATCGAGTGGCCAGTATCAAACAAATGTCTGGTTACTGACGATTTCCCCTTCAGCTAAATGCTTTTTCTGACAGCAGTTGGATTACATAATCTAAGTTCGCCCCCCCCCTTTACCACAACCAAAGCAGTAAACGTTTTTCAGTTACAATTTTGGGGTTTTGCGGGATAGGTATTTTGTTCATAGCCACACCACTGTCGTTTGAACGGCCGTGTTCCTGTTATGGCGCAGCTATTCCAGTGAGTCCACACCAAAGGAAGCACTGGACTCGAGTTTCGCTCTTATTAGAGCTCATCACGTCTAAACAGGCGAATTCAGCTGCGTTCAACGTGCGATGCTGGAGTAGTGGTTACACGCTCGCCTCGCATGTCAGATGTCCGGGGTTCAAATCCCGGCACGGCCATTGGATATGCACTGCTGATGAGCTCTAATAAGAGCGAAACTCGAGTCCAGTGCTTCCCCTTGGTGGGGACTCACCGGCATAGCTACGCCATAACAGGAACACGGCTGTTTTTCAGTTAGCCTGGTGCTGGTTCATTTGTGTTAACTTAGCTCGTTTTACCACCCATGATCCATATTTTGTCAGGGAAATCACGTACATTCATGCATAAGAATCAACCCGATTGGCAACACATATTTTGACTGGTTTTCTCACACTAATCCTTTGGACCGACAATAACTTCCTGTTGTAATTATTGCTTCAAAACGTTTGGCGAACCTAGTTCCTTTATTCAACAATTTTGGGACGAAACATCGAGACAAAGTTCTAAATCAGAGACTGGTCGCGCAGCCACGTGTAACCAGCTGCCCTTTGAAAAAAATTTGACGACCATTGACGAAATCTTTTTGGAATTCGCGCCGTGAAATCGTTGCAAACAGGTGTACAACAAGTAGAATGCTAACAAACAACTGGCGCACCCAATAATCGGACAGAACAACAGTCTGGTCAGGATCTGTTGAACAGCATAGTTGAAGGACAGAGCAAAATGTGGAAAAGCTGGTTGTTACCCAACAAGGTGAATGATTCAGCACAGTCCGCGTCTTTGACCAAGAACACGTGTATTCGGTCAGACGTACTGAGACTAGTCACAGTACGGCGAACATATGCGTCGGTTACACACATTTTGACCGACCATGGGACTTTCCAAAGATCCGGCTTGACCGATAATGAACGGATAACTAGACCTGACACTGGATTGCGTTTTATTCCCGCTATTCTCTCAGTTCCGCTTCTTGCAAGTATGCACCGACACCTCGGCTTCACTTGAGATAAAAGAGCTTACAGTGAATCATCTTCAGTCAATAATCCACATTACCTTCTCGTTACTTGTGAAAGAATGAAGGCCTTTACTCCTGGGTTATCTATTAGAAAGCGCCAAGTGAACAGTTACAGATTATTCGACAGGGGAGTAAAACTCTCATATGCATCTTGTTTACAAAAACTGAATATCAATTTTCTCCTCGAACGCGTCTTCCTGAACTTTCCTGGATATTTATTGACTGTTGCTCAATTCCAAGCAAATGCGACTCTACGAACTCTGCAACAGACTTCAGTTTTCAAGAGAGGCGAAGCGGAGTTACGAGGATACATACTACTTTCCCCCCATCAGTAATATTCACCGTTACAGTTGAATAGCATGAGCTACGCTGGGAAAGCTCTATGTGTTGATGGGTCTCTCATCACGCTTGCATTTGGTTCACTGTTCCCTTTGTGGAAACCTGCTTCTGGAAGCAGCGGTGACCGGGAATTGATAGAACTTGTGCATCTGATCTTTGAAGCACCGTATTCTTGAATTTAAAAGAAGTAACCAAAACGCATATCAACCCAACAAAACTAGCTCTTGGTAAACAACGCGATGGAATTCCCGAGGCCACAATCGATGACACTATAACCTAGTTTTCAGTTGTGTAAGCCACCGCCGTGTGCTGACTTTGCTTTGAGTTGAAATGAGGAAATGTATCAGTAAAGAAAAATACAGTTTTAGAACAAATGTACAATTAGATCGCCTACTTGAAAATTACGTAAATCTTCACCAATGTTGAATCAGGACCACTGATTGCGGAAATGTCGGTGGATAGACTGATCAACTGTTATCAGAAAGGAATGTCCAACTATTGAATAGCACATCAAATCAATCAATCAAGTAGAAACTAACGCTATTATTCGATCATACTTTGAGCTATTTGAGCATGTTGGATGCACGCTTTACCTGTGCGTTCCTACGTATAATGATTGTCTTTAATTTGATTGGTATAACGGACGCCATCGTATTCAGCAGTTTTCGTTCTTTCTCCAGATTGGCCTATACAATGGTTGTGATGCTTTGTGGCTTTGAAATCCTTTAATCTGTTTGTTTGCTTCGCTCGTGAGATTATACATTCTATTGGTCTATTTCATATGCACGGTTCATCGCTCCACGGAAATCGTTCGCTCTGATTGGTAGTTCTTCTCCGCAGAAAGCGTGTTGTTCTTCACACAGTGGATATATCTGATGCGTCGGTTAAGGTCATGAGTCATTTTTGTGGCACATTTGTTGATGGTATTTTTGATGTATCGACTGATTTCGGTATTTTTCGTGCAGTATCTTATCCCTGATCCAGTTGCCTGACATCTACGGTTTTAGGCATAGAGCCTCTGGAGTGTCCTTGGGAAATGCGAACCAATAAGCGTCTAGAAACCCCTAATCACCGTTAGCCAACCACATAAGGGATGTGAAATGTTGTGGGCTAAACCATACGCCGCCACCTAAGATTTAACAGGCGATAAATGGCTGAGAAACATTTTGGGAATCGACTGTCAAGAAATTCTGCAACGTAACTAATGCGATATCTTAAATGCGATATCTTAATCTTGGAAAAATGAGTGCAACCAGTTTTGTATCCACTGCGCTCCTCTACAACAGGTTAAACTGGCGTCCAATGGGCTAAATCAGGCTGAATCATGATTCTATTTTCGTGACCAGCTGATCTGAGTAATTTCAAATACGCATGAATCAATAGTGACAACCCTGTTTGAAAAGCCAAGGAGCAAGAATTGGTTCTACATCTTACATCTTTTCACAACCATCTTACAGCTTCTCTGGGCGAATTCCACACAGCTCTACGCATGCTGATACCAACCGTCAAACCTCGGCCAGAAACTGGGGCCAACAAGGATATGTTAGTTCTCCGGATCGCGATAGGCTTAATTGCTTGTTGTGTTCCAGTCGCTATCATTTTTGGATTCATCCTCGGCCGGCGAAACTACAAGCCCCAACGTGGTGGGTATCAAGCTACCGGACTGGAGAGTTTGCGAGCCTTATCAGACACACACCAAGCGGCCGGCTATCAAGCCCTCCCCTCGGGAACCCCAATTTGGACACCAGTTCGAGGATGTCTGGTCGAACATTCCATTCCGTCTGACGACGAACGTGCGCTCGGACCAAGTCCAGTTTACCTACGTGTACCTACGTGCTCCAGGAACAATTGTATCAATGCCATCGCAAGACCAGATACGATTGATAGACTGATGCGTCAAGCAACCCCCATAATGGGACTTTTCAAACCGCCTCCTGCTCAAACGCTGGTTTCCATTTCATCAGATCCACTGTCGTCCTCTCTGATACCCATGTCTGTCATGCACAATCAATTGGATGTGTAAATTGTGCGCACTCGTAGAGCGCACTATCTATCTACTTACCCAAGAGTCTTGAATAGTGATTATAGTATTAAAAACCTATGTTTTTACTCCACATTCTATCTCTCTAACTCGTGATAGCGGGTCGATAAAGTGGAGGTGCAGGCATAATAAACTAAAATGAGCCAATTGGTGTCATATCTACCTCCTAACCGTGGTTATGTTAGCTAGTAGAAGGAAACCTTTAGAACAGTTGTTTACCTAAGAAGAAACAAAGTGGACTGGACAGACTTGAAGCAAACACGCCATGTCATAGAAATTGTGTAATGTTCACGGTGAAAACTTTGTGGACGCAACACACTTTTTCTTGAGAGATTGTTGTAACCTGTCTTGTCAACAAGTATAAGAACTCAGTTGGTAAATGAGGTAATATATTTTATCTACCCTAAACCTACTTTCCGGAGATTTGCTTTTTTGAAACATCAGAACTGATTCATGACAAATTTTCAACCTGAGTGAGTTGTTTCCGTGTTATATCTCCTCTCAAGGGTGAGACATTACGTTTGCTTTCCTAGCAAGCGGCTCCTACTCTATTCAGGGCTGGTATCTGGTTTTCTGAGGAAAACTCCGCTATGCTACTCATGACATTAGGGTAGGCTCTATTCCGATCCCTACTTTTGGGTCATCCATACGAGGTACTGACTTTTAAGTAGCTTAAATAGAGCCTTGTCGCCCTTCAGGTTCATACATCTTGTGTGGGTTGGTGTAGTTTCATCTGAATTGAACGGATGCTAACATAATTAAAACTGTATTGTCTTGTGAACTCATAATGTTAGCACAACTATTCGCCCACGATATGAAGGGGAACAAAAGGTTTTGTAATGCACCACATCCTATGTGGTTTCAAAAGATGGATCGATAAAATCGTCTGAATGACTCAACCTGGCATTTGAAATGTGTTGAGGGTAAGCACGTCATCTCTAGCAAGTAGTGTTCCGTGTTTTCAGCTCACATACAGCATGGTGAGTTACGTCAGATGTATATAGATACTCTGGCTTTCCTGTCGGCTCATCAAGATTGTTCTATCGAGATGTCCTGTGAGAAAGTCAATGAGTTAAACTAAAATTTGATCTTGGGATTCCAATGGTTACAATCCAAATTTGTTTGCCGCGAAAGTTCGTCGAACCATGATTGCACAAATGATCTTGGGGCCACACGAACTACCCAAATCTTCCAGTTTTCAAGAGATTTCATGCAGTCAGTGAAGCCGATGTATTCTGAAACTCCTAGAAGGTCGGTACACCTGTTTCGTTCGTATTCATTCATATTAAACAATGAGCATCTCACGAAACTCAGAGAATTTGGAATGTGCGACCATCTTGCCAGAAGTTGAACACTTCACCGCAGACACTTTCACACAGACGTGACATGGTACCACCCTCGCTAGATCATTAGAAACCTTGTCACTCTTAAGGTCCATACATTACGTTTAGTTTGGTGCAATTTCACTTTGAGGCCAAGCGAACCAAACAAATCTTCCAGTCTCCAGAAGATATTTCATGTCAGTGAAGCTAGTCTATACTGAAATTCCTAGAAGTACCTTATTCATTGTTATTTAGCATTGCGATTCTCATGAAACTCTGAGAATTCGGAACCCGTAATCGTCTTTTCAGTGGTTTTACAAAGATTGGCTGATCACCAATGTGATTAGCTTTCACGTAGACAGGGCACCGATGCCACCGATTCTACATTCAGGGTAACCACATCAGGTGGTCAGGCTACGTGACTGGCTACTCGAGTCTTCGCTTCTCAGCTTCGTTAGACAGAGATACAGCTGAAATTCTTCAGAACATTAAAGACGTAAAACATTTTCGTTGCTGAACGTAACCAGAGCAGCGTGGTCTAGGTAAAATAGTGTTTGCCGAACAAATTAATATAGCTTATGTTGTCTGCTACTAGATTTAAAAAACGGCCTGAAATGGCTGCTTGAATCGAGAGGAATCACTGAAAATGACGGCAACGTTTTTGCCAACTTTGTGAAATGTCACGTGACCCAGCAATACCACAAGGGCAATGAAAACTTGGTAAACACGTATATCGTATCACTTCGCTTTTTATAATGACCACGAATACGTCAAAATGGAGTTGGTTGCATTAAACGATAAGTGTTCGAAAGCCAGCCGTCCCTAATAATCGAACATCACATCATTTGGACGGATGTGTCACGTGCAGAACACGGGCCGAACGAACGCATGCCCTGATTGGTCAGAATGCCAGCCAATCGGAGTCGAGCATCTTTGACTTGACGCATCTCTCCCCCTCTCGGAGATTCTGGCACGATCTTGTGGAACACTCTGTGACTACCCTATAAATACAGCTGTAATAATTTCCCTTTGTCTCCATAAAGGGCTGTGCAGAGCTACCGTGCCTTTTGATGTACCATAGTGGGCGGAGCAGGAAGCCAAGGGATCGATACAGAATTACACTACAATTCAGCGAGACACAACAATATATTACCAAAATTTCCTTGGTAATCAGCGACACCCATTATCCATGTTTGTATTTCTTGGTCTCAGAAAAAAGCCTGTCGATGATTCACAGCAAATCAACCAGTTGATTTACCAACTCGTTTAGAGCTATGCAATAATAGATGGGGGATTTGATCAAACCAGTTCTGTCGACTTGTATAATGATTGTAGATGTCAGTTATCAGTGTTTGTCGATCATATCAAAGACGATGATTGCTATGGATTCTCAACCGTGTAGGTGAGTTGATAGCTTATCAGTAGTAAAATGCCAGTGTGAATAGTCGCCGCTGTGACATGTGGCATGCGGTCCACCATGGCCGCAACCTATTCCCACAACAGTAGCCTGCATGTGGAGCCCAAGTGTTGGAAACCGAGTTCATACACTGAAACCATATACTCTGAGGAACCTATGAACGCACCTAACAAATGGTATGGACGAATAGAGACATCTGTTCCGGTGGGGTTGACCATAATACAGCGTGAGGCAGAAGCTCGGGGACTCGGGACTCCATCGACCGGGGGGACAGAGACGCCGCGGCTTGACGTCCCAGCACGGCATCCATCCACGTGTCCAACATTTGATGAGCCGCAAATATCTTCTGATATTTCTGTCTGCGTAAGGTCTTTTAATCAGGTCACACGTCCCAACGAAATATCGATTGTCTACAAGGGACGGCATGACACAATTCGAGTTTACTGCTTCCCGCTTTGCATGCGGACCAACAATAATTATCTCGAGAGAATAGCCGATTATTCAAACCGTACAAGTCTTACAATTACTACATTTCAGTGCGGTATGATTCAGATGTAGCCGCGTTTTTTGACTGCTTTTTAAATGCATCACCTGGAAGTCATTCGATAATGCGTGAGAACAAACGACGGTTTGGAATAATCTGCAATGAACTGATCTCTAGAATGAACCCAAATATGGATGAGAATTTTGCGGTGTATGAGGAGCATAGCTTGATTGAACCACAATTCAAGCTGCGTCCGTATTGATCTCTCACAAACTTGGTGATCAATCATTCGTTTATTTTAGTTTCTATAATCGTTTGTGGTTCACCAGTCACAGGTTTTTTGCTAATCACTTAACATACTTTCCATCACAAAGTAGCCAATCGACTTCAGTATGCACTGTGCCGCTCACAACTTCGAAAAGTTCTTTTTAGGGACGGAATGCTTGAACAACAAGATCATTTTTGATGTTACTTGAAAGTCATCTATTGAATGCAAACGAGTCTCTCTGTAAATGAGTGTATATGAGTTCAAGTAGATCATAAGGTTGACGGAAACTCGGGGACTGCGCCTACCTGATGAGCCCCAAGAAAGGCGAAACCGGCCGTGGGCTGTCGAAGAGTTTTCAGCAACCTTGTCGGCCTGTGTGCAGCACATTCAGTTGTAGAATATCACAAACGAGAGATTCAGTTGAGCCCCTCATGAAAACCAAATTGAAAAATCAAATATCTCAAGGCTGAGAAACGGAGATTTTTGTTGCCGACACCCTTTGCTGATCTATATTCACAAAGCAACCATTGCACCTCCATGTCGATGAATAGTTTGTATTCAGGCTGGACGAAGCACAGACGGCAGTCGCGTGGGTATTCCTTATCTGTGATTGGTGGTTGCCGACACCCGTTGCTGATTTATATTAACAAAGCAACAATTGCACCTCCACGTCGATGAACAGTTTGTATTCACGTTGGACAAAGCACAGACGGCAATCGCGTGGGTATTCCTTATCTGTGATTGGTCAGTTCATCCTGCTCGTGTTTTGTATACGGATCTATAGTACGTAGCCATCTTTCTGATGTCATTCAGGATAGGAATAGGCCCTTGGATCAGAAGTCCCATGTCCCGTCAAAGCAGATATTAGAATAACGTTTGGTATAACTTGTGAGAACCATTGTTCTCAACCAACATTCACGGACCGGTGGCCTGGCAGCTGCATTATTGCAGATCTCTGGGGAGTTTAAAATGCAACGAAACGACTCAATATCGGACCCTGACCGCTGCGAAACTGTGAATCCCTTCTCCAATATCCCGGGATAAATCATTTATGTCTGAGAATGATGCACGTTTGTTGCTATATCATCAACATATGTCATCCGTTATCAACTTTAAGGGTTGCCTCTGCCCTCGCGTGAACCGAAATACGATAGTCGCCTCTGCTTCTTCATTCGCGTCAACAAGAGCTTACGAAAGTCTGTTAGACTTTGATTTTCACTTGATTTAAAAGAGTTGAGATACGATTCAAAGCCGATTACACGTGCCGATGTAGTGAACCCTGAAAACCTCCTAATAGGGTGTCCACAGCTTGACAAATTCATCCGATGGTCGATCTATTAATCTGACCCCTAAAGTCAATATAAGTATGGGAAGAAGTTTCACCAGTTTCGGCCCGATCGGTCCAGAAAGTCGCATAGGAGTTGAGCGGCTAAGTAAAATTGTGAAGAGAAATGTACTGTCACTGTATGTCAGACCGCAGTAGGGCTCATATGACATGTGAAAGAAACGGGAAACGTTTAACCTCATGGGCTCCTTAGAAAATCGATCAACTGTAGCACCGTTACGGGTGCCTAACTGCCACGCCACCGCAAGAAAGCACGAGGTTTAGGACACCGCCAGGTTGCCGAAGCCATGACAGGGGAATTCGAGAGGCGATGATCGGGTCCGAACAACGGAACTGATCCACCTCGCCTTTATATGCGTGCTGGAAATTTGACAAACGTCTTGAAGAACAAACGAAGGGAGTCCAGAACTGGAATAGGCTGCGTAGTTTCCGTACTCATCAACGCCTCGTCGGTAAGATTAGGTAAACTTAGAAAGATGGTTGCTGAAAAGACAAGTGGTATGAGTTTGGTTCCACATTTTTCCGCTAAAGTGGATGGAATACCTCTTGTCTGCACGAAAGTCTAGTCGAACAAAAACATAATATGGGTGAAAAAGTCCAAACCCAATGCATTAGCAACGTTGTGGTTTATTCCTTAATGCTTTGTGGAGACTTTTTTTATGCGTGCTAAATCCAATCAATCAATCAATTAAGGGAAACAATCACGCAACTATTCTACATCAATAACAAAACAGCATATACATTTCTGTAAAATGTATGTCTAGACTGTTGAAAGCTTTCGAACGGTAACGGTACTCATCGACTTCACCTGAAAAATCCTCATTACATTGAATGATTCCAGGCAAAGGTAACAAATTCATCTACACCGCTGATATACATGTTTCCGCAGTAAGTCAAAAATAACTCTTATCGGCTAATTGAATTTACCGGTCCAGTGAGCTGCACAAACCACCGTCGATCGGTTGACATAAGACTCTCATAGTCGCCGCTGGCTATACGTTAGACAGTCAGACGAATATCTCATGAAATGTTCACATCTGGCATTTACGTAAGCTGGCGTTCACTTGGTTTACTGCTAACCGCACTCATGCGCGCGCGCCGATTTTTCCATCTGGCGTTCTTGTTGTCAGTTTCTATCCAGATCGCCTGAGTGAGTATGTGGAGGTGTAGGCACGTCGGAATGACTGTGATAAGCCAGCACTACGTCCCTTCCCCGTCCACCTTTACTCTTTTCTTTACAGTAAATCTTCCAAATAAATCATAGTTTTACGGCAGTGAAGCATCAGTGTTGAGCACTGATATCATGCTGTCGATGATGACCTGGGGAAATGATCGATCAGGAAACATGGCTTCTGTATGATGGACGGGTTTTACGTATACCTGTCTGGTTGGATCAAAGCGATGACGTGATCTGTAGTGGAAGCCAAGCGCGAAAGATCATGGATTGCTTTCGAGGACGTCTACAGAATAAAACGATTACGTAGAGCTGGAGTACTTGGGCTGCAATCCGCAGTTCCTGAGAAGACCACCGTTCGGCTAGAGGCTCTGTAGGATATGGTTGGCAACTGATATCAGTTTCCACCTAGACTGTTTGGGTAGTAATTTGACAAATGACCTGTGGTGGTGAAGTGTTGAAGCACTGATGTCTTGCCACAAATTTATGCTGGTCGATGCGCTTGACGACTGTTACAAGCGAAGTTGCTGGTATCACCAAACAAGGAAAGGCAAGCGCCGCGTATGCATTTCGCACCATCATCTCTATGCAAATATCTACAAACAGGGTGGATGGATGGCCTTATGTTTTGGCTTCAAACGGCGACCTTTGTAAGACCCCCCCCCTGGGTACGTAAATTCAGATGTCAGAAGTTTAGCTCTTCTAACCGTACTAGGAGCCTTTCGACCTATTTTTAGTACCTTATTGACGAAAGTCTCAAACCGATGTATTCAGATTCAAGGATTAGTCGTTCTTTGTCTAATTCCTACTGAAAAAGGAATGAAACTTCTGCGCCACTCATTTTGAAACGCGGTGCTTACGTCTTTTTTGTTCGGGTGTGACCCGGCGACCAGTTTTCACAATCGACACTGGTAGATTAATGTGATGTCATCCCTCGCCTGTTTTCCGCCAGACCATCTGCGTAACAACGTAACAGACCCCCAAAGTCCCCCTCGTTCTTTACCGGGCGCGTCAGATCACTAGAAGGACCCATTCGGTAATTCTAACGAAGTCTGTTCCAGAATTGGACACAACATGTGCGTTTCCCTTGGATTTATGACATGAGCGAATTAGTTTCGACAGAATCAGGGACTGTCTGATTGGTCAGGTCCTCACCACAACTAGTACTAGAAAGAAGGCCTTCGTTGCAGAGCTATTTTGTAGAAAATGCCAACTGAACAGTTATAGACTATTGGACAGGGGAGCAAAACTCCCATATGCATCTTGTTTACAAAACTGAACATCCATCTTCTCCTTGAACGCGTCTTCCTCAACTTTCCTGGATATTCAATGACTGTTACTCAATTCCAAGCAAATGCTACAGAGCGACTCCACAAAGCCCGTGATAGACCTCACTTTTCAAGAGACCCAAAGCGGATTTATGAGAGAACATACTACTCAAATGCCCCCAATCAGCAGTATCACCGTGACACTAGTGTACTGGTTTATTTGATTTAAGTGGATAACACAACGCAAATCCTTGTTACCGGTGAGACGGCGAGACATTGTTTTTTCAGCCCACTAGGATGCCAAGAACAACTTGTCAGACCACGGTATCAGGGAAACCAGTAGCATAAGTGTGGTGATTCGAATACTAAATAGCTAGGCAGCAATCACTTCGGATATGCAGTCTTGTTCCCAACGGTGGTCGGATGTGTTCCAAATTCATCAGACTTTGAAATCAAAGAAGGTGAGGAGGTCCAGATCACTCGGTTCACTATCATCAGTGCAGAAGAGCAAAAGATGGAATTCACTATAGTCCAAGTCACAACAAAAGACACTCGATCGCTCAAAATCTCTTTTCTTTGGCAAATTAGCTGCACGTGGTCGATCGCGATGGCGATGTCAATTTTGATTCTTACACCAAGATGAACAGTTATCGTTCCTGGCTGTCAACGAAGCTCAGGTAAAGCACATTGCAAGATAGATTCTCTATCGACTGAACTGTCCAAATAGTAGGACCATATATCCTTACTCAAAGTTTTCTTCGCAAGTGAGCCTGCTTTGCTAAGTTCGTGCAATTTGGATTCAAGTAGAACATAAAGTTCACGGGAACCCGGCGACTGCACCTAGCTGATGAGCCCCAAGATGGACAAAACCTGTCGTGATCTGTTGCAGAATTATCAGCAACCTTATTAGTAGTGCATTACGTCTATGCATGTATCGCGATATCTCGAATGTCGTAGTAACTGAAACACGAGGCGGCCTGGTGCAGCACATTCAGTTGCCTGAAAACATCACAAACGAGAGATTCAGCTGGGTTCCAGGTGAGTCTCTCGAGAAAAACAAATCCGTTTGCAAATGGTTATATTACCCCCACAAAATAAGAATAACTGGACGGTAATTGTACATGTACCGTAGACTGAAAGGAAAAAACGGGAACGTACGCTTGGATATTCCAAGGAAATCCAACATTTTGCTGACAAGGAGACAAACGAGACCCAATGCGAATTTCGCCAGTGTTTTTGCATTTTGTTTGAACTGGTTCTGATACATTTCATAAAAGAAAACTACTCACAAGGTTGCTGAGAACTCTTCGACAGCCCATGACCGGTTTCGCCCTTCTTGAGGCTCATCAGGTAGGCGCAGTCCCCGAGTTTCCATCAACCTTATGCTCTACTCTGGTCCTGTTCCGCACCACTAAGAGAACAGTAGATGATCTTATGGACTTGCTGTGTACCAAGTTAGTGACACTGAGAACTTCAGCTGTATGGGAGCTATATTCAGTGGAGATTTTTTCCCTTTGTGGAGGCCAATCTACGCTGAGGAGCATTGTACATGGTTTTCATTTTTAGTAAGAACCCCCAACAGTGATCATTTTATACAACTCCAGTTGATGGTCTCGAACTTGCGACCTTTCAATGAAATGCACAATCATTCGGCCTTGAACACAAGTGTGAATCAAAAGGAATCGAATAAAATTAAAGACGAAATGGGAAATAAAGCGGAGCAAAGTAATTCAAGGTAGATCCGATGGTCGTCATGTCGTTTCATTCACTGTCCCGAGCATGAACTCAGTTTAACTCAACACAACCAATAGCTACAACGTAACTTTTGCGTTTCTTTCACAACTAACCGGAGAAACATGGCTCAAGTGGTTAGAGCGCGAAGTTACTGACCGGAAGGTCCGTGGTTCGAACCCGACTTCTGTCTCTCGACTTCCCCTGTCTAGGCTTGGGCAACCAGGCAGTATCTCAACCCTCGTGCTTCTTTCGGGTATCATGGCAGCTAGCCACCCGAAGGGTGTTACAGCTAAACGAGTCCAACCCGCTTAGCTGCAGGTTGCTGCTCTGGTCTAAGGGTGTAGAGAGTAAGGACTGCTAAGGCGACTGCGTACAGCAGCTGCCTTCTGAATCACGCGGTCGGATTTTTTCGGTGTTTAGGGTAAACCTCTTTTAACCCGTCCTTCCTCGGGGGAAGGCAGCGTCGCTGCTCCTTAAATATGGACATGCTGATTGCCTGGAGAAAGCGCCTTGCTTTCTTCAC